TATAGATTAATTTGGTATAAATATCTCATTTTTGAATCTGAGGGTCGAAACCCACTTTTTCCTAGAACAGCCCCCATTTGATCTGCAATTCCTTTTCTTGTTTTGCCAGGTGTAAGCACTGATTATGAATCCACAATAGGGGTGGTTATGCTCAAAGAATTCTAATTTATAATGTTAAATACGTCAGGTAAACTAGCCAATTGTAATAACGCATGACGAAATTTTTGACTTTAGTCATTGACGTAACTAAAGTATTTGACTAAAGGTAGTTTCTCACCGAAGCCATTTTGACGATTTGGCTAAAGTAAAAACCCTTGACGTAAGTAAATACCCTTGAAAGGCTACTTAATTGGATTGTATAAAACTAATTATATTATCATAAAACAACTTATTAAAGAATTTTCTTTCAAAATAATAGATGTTGGAATCGACTAAAATAGTTGACTAAACTTTTTTTTGAACAACTAATATTCGACTATTTTAATTGATTATTTTGTCAACTAAAATAGTCAATTATTTAGTTGAATATTTTAGTTGACTAACTATTCGATTACTAATACTACTAATACTAATACTATGCTAATATTATTATTGTTTGACCAATTACGATTTTTGTGTTTTATCATTCAAAATGGAAAATTTCTATGCGGAAGAGTATCAATACCATCAATATGATGATAATGACAATAATAGTGGTGTTGTTGATGATAATTTTACATGCAAATGAATAAACACTTCCAATAGTTCATTGGTTTCAAGTTCTGATGATTTAAGCGATGGTTCCAGAAGACCTTTAAAAAAATGAATCGTAACACATGGTTTTGTGTGGAAGCATTTTGAAAAAGTGAAAGATTCAAATGGAAATGAATTCGTAATTTGCAAATTAAAATTTTTTACCAACTAGTAGTCGACTAAGGATTTTTTGGTTGATTCCAACCTCTACATCATTTCATGGACTACTTTGCAGACTGCATGTTTGTAAGGGAAAGACTGTGTGTTAGTTCAGGAAAAGTTGATTACTTGTCTGAGGTTGATTCTATGTTGTTCTTTTTATGTAAAGTAAGATAATAATTCGTCACTATTTTCTCTATTCTTTTAAAAACAATCTTCATAAGAATGATAAGAATTTGAAACAGGGAAAAGACAAAATATTCTAATTTGGTTTAAGTAGTTTGAAGAGAAAAGAAAGTTAGTTGATAAAGAACAAATAGGTTATCTTTATAGTATTTTCGAAAATGGCTTTTTGCTTTGATAACACATCCCAATATGGTTCCTTTCCAAAACCCTTCCAGAAATCAATCAGCAGAGTTTCGGCAAGCAAACTTACATCCCAACGATATTAAATGAAGAGTGAACTGAGGGACCAAATCTGTCTTGAACAGGTTAGTATGTTGACTTAAAACTTAATTACATCTATATTGATATTAGCATACTGAAAGTTTTGTTTTTAAACCCAGCATGTTCTTGATGCTACAAGAGAAACCCGATCTCAAGGGTTCTTACTACAAAAAACAATCACCAAAAGGCACTTGTTGGATGAACCTTGTGAGCAAACCTATAATGAGGATAAACGTTCAAGGGAAAAGGTTGGTGTATAGCTTAAATTTTTGTCTGCAAAAATATCTTATAAAAAATAAAATAGCTTTAGAGGGGGAATATATTGCCTGATGACACTTGCTATTTGTTGTTCTCAGTTTCAATAATTTAGACAAAATTGAGAATCGAAGTTTCAAATGAAACCCAAGGAATAATGGCAAATTATGAGAACAATACATTTTTAGTACCTGATCATGGGAAGGATAATTTGAGCAACATAGTTGATCAGAATGAAGACGATGGAGAGGATTCAGGTTATAATAATGATATCGGTGATGTTTTATTAATAGAGATGATATAAGTTTTTGTTTTACCTGTAGCTAATAACTATATAGTAAATATGCTAACTTTCCTTCTTCCAGGCTTTGCAATGTTTGAACAATCATGAGAAATCCATAGAAATCTTTTTCTGAGATTATTGAATATAATAAATCCAAAGAAAGTAAATCTGGCGAAAAAACTCATGGATTCGCTTTTTTTAATGGTATAATTGATATGTCTAATGTTAAAGAACAAATAAATCAAAAATTAAAGGAAGAGCAACTCAATTGGTTAAGTAATGTCCTGGATAGGAAAATAAAACTCTGATGAAGATATTAGACCCTGTTTGCCAATAAAAAAATAGTAATAGGGAACCGCGCCCTGGATAGTTTCTTTAAATTGATCTACATTATTGTTAAAATTTTTACATTAAAATAAAATTATACATTAAAATAATACATTAGAATTATAATTTTAAGTAGGTTCTGGACAAAGAATTTAAATGGGTCTTCTATGTGTTAACGAATTTTTGCGAAAAAAATTGATGAAATAGAAGGCAAAGTTTTAAGCCAAAGTAAATGTTATCATTGTAATCCTTGGATATGCAAATATCATTTGTTAATATTAATGGATCAAGTTTTCGGGGTTGATTTTTCTTTTTTTGTGTAATAAACTTTGAATTTCAGAGGTATGGTGGTTCTTGCTGGAAATACTAATTTATGCCCATTTATCATTACAAAAACAGATATACCACATTGGCCTGTTTGATAATTGCATTTATACCATTTAGCAAAAACAGCCAAGCATTGTACTGTGAGGTATTCGTCCGAGTTAATGGTATTTTATTATTATTAATAATTCACTTTCCGTGATCTATATTTTACTATTTCAGTAACAATTGATAAGTGCCTTTTTATATAATTCTCAATGAATAACAAAGTAATTTTTCTCTTATTTTTTATCACATAAGTCTAATGTTGTTTGACGGAATGTTTCCAAAGTTGTAAAAATATTGCGTCAAATTCGCTGCCATTAAGTCAAAAATGACACAAGTAAAAATGCTTTGGAGGTTGATAAAATATAAAAGCTCATAAAAAAACTTCTAAATATACATTCCAGGTCTTTTTTATATTTTCTTGTGCATCCCAATTTCTCCTTTGTTTCATCTGGACCAAGTTTTTCTTTTGCTGAATACAATTCAGTTCCCACACATTCATTTATTACTAAACTCAAGCATTACTTGTATTACACAGTGAATTTCGATTTGGAGGATGTTTAATAAAAATCTCGATTTTAACGTATTGAGGCTCAGAACTGGGCTATATTTTTATAGTAAATTTTCTCGATATAACGGATGTACTAATTAAATCTCGATTTAACAGGTTTTTGAAAAATTTTCTCTAATACTAATACTAAGTGGCCAAAATTATCTGCTAAATCGAAATTCACTGTGTAATAATGTGATACATGATCAGGGTAAATAAAAATTTTATGCAATATTGATCGGTTAAGTTACTTTGCAATAATAAACCATCTTTATCTTTATCCTTATTGTAGTGATCAATGAAGAATGAATTTTGGTTGGTCCTTGCAGAGGAAAAAGTATAGATAATTAACATTCTGATAAAATAAACTCTGTGATAGAATCGTTATTTTTTATTAAACGTTAATAAGCTTTTAAAATAAAAACGTTGGTTTTATTTTTTTTGTTTAAAGCGCTTTGATAAAAGCAACAAGTGTAGTTCCAGTTCGTAAAAGGTAACAATTATGGAGTTATTTGCTTTGATTAGTAAACAAGGTTAGGATTAACGTTGGTTAACTAATGGGTGTTAACAGTGATTAGTAACATAATTTGCTTTAG